GCGGATCGTTTGGGAAGCTCATACAGCCCAACCAGCAGTTTATCGGTGGTTCCAAACGAAAAGGGTGGGGACAGTTTTTGCCGCACTTTTCACACCGCGACAAAAGTTCTAATTTCCGATGAAACAGATCGAATAACTCCGTCTCCTGACACATCCAAATCTGGATCAAGGGGTCGAACTGACGCAAATTCACCGAGGCGAACAAGACTCGATGGTATTTGTCTGCAAAGAAAGAAATAAACACAACTTAGGAATGGGAAACAGTCCAAATTGAATCGCATTGAAAATCGTCCGTCGAAATCTACCTACACTTGGCGTGTCAGGGAAAGGTCAGACAAACAATGGTTGTGTTAACAAAAGAAATCGAAGAGATTAAGTAATACGTGCAGAGAAATACCATTGGCTAAAAACGGAATTAACTAATCACCTTTCCCATTCTCCTCCTCACAGAGCGCCCGTTTGAACCGCTTGAATTTTGATTGGTCCAGAAAGTCTAACACGTATATCTTTGATTGGCCTTATTTCTATGGCTTGGATCGTCACATATACGTTCTCATTTGTCGGAGGGAAGTATGCACTGGGTGAATAGGAAAGTGTTACGTTACAAAAATTCCAGTCGCCAAGTCTTATCATGCAATTCGTTTTATCTGATAATTCGGTCGAACATAAATTGGAAAGACTCATTAAATTTCCTCATAGTGATCACCTACCAGGTACATAAACTAGAAAAGGTTAGTTGGGATGACGATCCAAACGGAGTTCGACAGAGAAGTGAACTTTACTGATCGCTGCCAAGCTTACAATGTACACAAAGTAAGTGAGAAATTACAAGATGGATTGGGTTTGGGTTTGATTGGAGGGAACTTCTATGGTCCATACCCAGAACACACAATATAAGTATGCATACATACCTTTTTAAGCATTCTGACGTGGTAAGAAAAGACAACAGGCAAGCCATTGCAGTCAGTTCATTACCTTATCCATCAGTATTTCCAATCAGCCAGTTGCACAGTCTTTTGGACATCAATTTGGAAGACGAGAGACACCTACCCTAGTTAATAGCGTTGTGTTTTTATTCATGCCTCGTTTCCACGTCATCTGTAGACATCCAGGTGGTTTCCTCCAACCCGGAGTCGCAACAGCGAATAAGACACAGTGACACGACGACAGTTGGAACGCTGACTGGGCATTATCAATGAGCAACGTTTCAGTCGTGCAGCGCAATGCAGCTAGGCAATCGAATCAGTTACTTACCTTGAAACTAGCTGTTAACGAACCCTATCCAGGAGGCCACAGTCGTGTGTGAGATCACAAACGGTTACTGATTGAGTCCCGAAAAGGACGAAACACCAATGCATCGCATACAGTAAGGAGATGTCCATGAATTTGACGCATGAAAGAAAGAAAAGATGGAATATTTGTGTTCCTCATTTCACTACAAATGAGGAGTCTTTTTCATGGAAAAAACACCACTCGCCATGTTTCCGTCCTGTTGAACCAATGGCCTTTTGGTTTATTTTAACGATTTACTGCCAGTTATTTCATGGCTAGTCATTTAGCATTGGAAATCATACCAGCAGTTGGTTAGCGAACACCTTAACAAAGACAAGCAAGATGAGGAATACCGCATATGTGTAGCAGTTAGTTTGACGGGATGAGACAAGCGGATTGAATGATACTGACAGTGGCGTCCCACTGGTTCTCAACAGACCATGCAAACACAGCTCTCCGTTTTTGGTGTTAGTGATGAGTTCTCCAAGCTGGAAGTGTTCGCAGACGTTTCGCAGCCAAGCGAAGCAACATCCGTGCGACTTCGGTGGGGCGCCAATCAACTGAAGACTGTCGTTCCCCAAAAGTCGCACGAATGATGTTGCCTAGCTTGGCTACAAAACGTCTGTGAAAAACACCTCCAGGTCGGAGAACTCACCAAAAATCAACATTCGTATCCTGAGCTACAAGCATTCCACATCATTGCAAACAGCTGTCCTTTGTATTCGCGCAATGTGCTTACTCACGCCGTCATGGTTGGCCCAATCGTGAGCCTTCTACCCGTAGTCAAGATACTACACTAGACAGTTCTCGCAGCTGACTCTCTCTTGCAACAGTGATTCACCGTAATAATCCAATCGCTTTCCCCGCTCTCTCTTTTTGATATCTAACTATTTATATTGAGTGATACCATTGGCGAACGACAATATTGTGCTTACTGAACTTCTCTTCACTAGAATTCAGTATTCGATCCATTTCCAATTCGGATCGTCTATTTCCACATCACTAAAACTATAATTTTATTTAGACGAAAAAAATATGATACCAGTGTTTCCAGGTCTCTTTACTACACGTCCAATTTCATTTGCCGTCAACATGTCCAATTTGGATGGAACAGATCAAGCTCTGTTTTGAATAATCACATTTTTATTTTTCCTCTTCAATCCCGTATTGTTTTTTCCAAATTCTTAGATTCATATGGTTGAACAAGCGAAACCGGTTCCGCCCACTCTGCGTATGGAAGGTGAACGGTATTTGGAGACCACCAATCGATCCGTATTTACCAAAAAGGTCATGGATACGGGGACACATCGCCATCTACGGGTAGTTTATTTCGAGCACTTGTACACTTAAATGTTGTAATGGATGTTATCCTTTTCACACCCATGTGTTTTATTGTTCGCAGTCTGTGAATTGTTGGATCGGATGATTTCTTCGATTTAAGATAAACTGACTATAATGAAGTCATTTACTTACTTACTCACCTTGCTGCAGCTGATTCCTTGGAACGGATAAGCCGTCTCCATGAATGTCTTTGATTGCCACCGTAGGAGACATGGTTTCATGAAATTACTTGGGAGTTTGGTACGAGAGATATCCCCAGTGTCATTTGACGTTATTTTTATTTTGAGAGCGCACCAACCACGTGCGAACTGCAAGGCACCAGGAAGTAATCCTTCACTTCGGGGTGCGGGTCAAAATCAAACGATGATTTAACAAAGCTTAAAGCTTATCATAGGATTTTTGCAGAATTTTTTGAATAACTTCACAACCAGAAAATAATAATGATAACAATTTGCATGATCACTCACGAATGTCGATTGTTTAAGTGTTCCAATGTGTTATCCAGTTGTGATTTAAATTGTTCAACTGTAGGAGCACAAACCACATTGGATGGAAAAGAATTCCATACGCCGCACACTGACTGCAAACGAGTGATGCCGGCAATCAGGGTGGCTGTTCTGGGTCTTCAACTTTAGTGGATGTCCCCTGAGATGATCATTTTAAGATAAAGTTGGCATAGAACGACAAAAGTGATTGGGTTGATGCATAATGTGATTTGTCAAGATTAGGTCCCCTCGAAGTCCGCGGTATTGAGATGAATACAGTCTCAATATTTGCAGTCTTTTGAAGTATGTCTTGTTATACAGACCTTTTACCTATTTTGTTGTCAGCCTTTGCGGACGTTCTAGGGCCTTCTTGTCGCGGTTCAACCATGGATTCCATACTTGAACGGAGTACTCCGTGTACTGTCAATGACTTTAGTTTTAAAAGGCCAGTCACATCGACCTTTGTCACGATACCGTCATTAGGCTTATGTGGCTTTTTTAACAGGAGCCAGGTGACCAGTCTGAAACCCGCCGCTGTTTGTTCGCGACGGCTTATTTGTTTCGGTGTGCCACAACCTATTTACAGCGAACCTTCTTCAGTGAAAGTATTTCCGCTTCCACAACCCGGGTAAGCGCCTGGTAGCATTCAGCTCTGCTTAACCCCCAAGGGTAATCAAGTCACCATCACCACTACCAGCACTGGTGTTTGACTGGTTTGCTGATTAAACTATCTGGCATGTGTAATCTTTCGGTTGATTCACTTTCCAGACGAATGCCAAAGACAGAGTCCCAGCAGAACAACAAACTAGAATTCGAAATCCGTTTGTCGGTGAGACCCAGTTTCGAGCCGATTTTCCCGCCGCAAGAGCCTGGACAAGTGTGCAACCTGAGACCGCTTGTGCTCCTCCCATGATTGTTCCTCCACAGTCGGAAATTCTGTTACGCGACTCGGATGTGCACGAGTTCCGTACGGAACAGCGCGATCAGTTCGTGCCTCGAGATGTTCAGGTAAAACACGAATACATACATGAATACGTATGAAGCCAAAGTTTGTGTTTTGTTTAACCGCATGATAACTTCAATTGAATATGATCAAAATTCTAACAAGTATATTTCAAGCAAATAGTAGTCTGTTCCATACTCATGTGGTCTGACTGGAGTCGAACACCAAACTACGAAAAACTTCGAGGGGAGGGGACGGAAATACCGGATGACGTTGCGAATCTTTGACAGAGATTATCATCGCCACCTTGTTAACTACGACCGGCAGGGGATTAGATCACCCATATTGTCACCTACTTTGCAGATAAAACATCAAGACTGGTATATACATATATATATATATGTGTGTGTGTCTGCAACATAATCTTCGACCTGAAAGAATAGTGGGAAATCATTGATCGAAATAGGTAGGCATTCTTACGTTCAGCCGTTCACCATTAATCCCGATCGGGACACCAGTATTCCCGTGGAAGTGAGTCGAGTTGCATGCATCCAGCAAGGCGTTGTTCATCCTGAAGCAATGAATGCACGGCAGTCCACAGTGTCAACGTGAACGCTCCGAAAAAAATGTTTTTTTGTGGAGGGCTATACTCTGTTAAATAAACAATTCCAAAAACAAAAATGTTTGTATGACTGAACCGTGTACAGATTCAGCGGAAAAATATGGACTAAATGAATCCAATAACACTTTCAGTAGTGCGATTTTGCCTGTACGGTTGTAGCGAACAAGTACCGGTACCGTACGAGGAGAGTTGCTCGTGGGAGGAACACTACCGGAAGGGAATAAATGACGTTACCGTGAACGAAACATCTGATTTGCAACAATTAATTCGTATTTTTGTGATCTTCTCTGCCTCGGTGATCGTTAGCCCGACAGTATGGTTTTCTCTTCTGTGGTTGTAACAGTAAATCCTTCAATCCACTCTCGGGTGCCGTGGGAATCCAACAACCGTTTCTTCGAGCGCGTAAACTACTCCCAAATGTGAGTAGTACCTCACAACACTAGGGTTGTGTTGGTCTCGGCCGTAAATGGTTCGCACAACGCAAAAATGGGATAAATGTACGGTGCATCGCGCGTCCCTTTCCGTGCACTGCTGCACTTCCCACAGTGTTCAATTCCATATCACCGTCGCTACCCGCGCATCGATGATAAGCTACGCCCCATCAATCCAAGCATTGACGAAACAAGCGTGGTCCAATCAACCCGCACACGTGCTTGATGCATTAGAAACAGCTGCTCAAGGCTACCGAGGTTCAGGCATCGGCCGAAAGAATGACAATCCCCTTCTTCGTGCGACCATGTTTCATCGACTTCCCCCAAGTGCGCTTGCCTGGCTCCGAACGAATGATCACGTTATTGATCGGAACGACCAGGGCAGCTTGACCTCTATGTTTGAAATAACGTCATCCAGTTAGTGCCGCAAAAGGCAATACTGATTACAAGTCGTGTCGTGTTCGTAACCTAACGGATAACGCCAGCACAGGCGCGACGCGTTACAGTTTCTGGATAACAAATCACAGGCCAAAAGTGCCAATCAACAAAAAACATCGCGCTGTTCAAACCGAAGCTGTATGACCTAGAGAATGCAAGCAGCCTATTGGTAAAAGCCTGTTTAACCAATAACGTTTGATTTTCCTCAATAAATGAACCGCTACTTCTGTGGCTTTTATCCTGAGTCTCGGTGACGGGAGAATTCAACCTAGGATTGCCAGTGCGACTCATTTGCGATTGTGATTCGTCATCCATGATTTGCGCCAATACCAATCACTAGAAATCTGCATCATCCGAAGTCACCGAACTATTCTCTTCGTCCGAGGGATGCTAAAAAAACTCCCTTAGTTCCGTTTTTTCGGTGGGATGAAGCTTAGAAAATGTGAACTGTTCTATCCAAATACACTCAATGAGTACCTACCTGTCAACATGACTATCCTCAATTTGGCGAAGCCAAACATTCAGAAAAGCGAGAAAATTATGATTTCTGTCTCCACACTAGGATAGGCGTTGTTGAATACTAGAAGTAGTTTGGTACCTGTACCGGACTGTCCTCCAGCCGTTGAGTGACTCGTAGATACGAACCTCAAGTCCGATTACAGATAACGAGATGTCTGTAATCTACGTGTACTATAAGAAGGGAAATACGTACGAAAATAAGTGCCATTACTCAAATTGTGGGCCAATCCGGTCTCTACGGTACACGAACAAGATACAAAACGGGTCAAGGCGCAGAAGAAAACACCTGCGGAGCGGTCACCAATAGGAACGCAAACTATTCACAGAAACGGGACAGTTTAAAGGATAGAATCACCAATCCCAAGTGCTCGATAATGGAGTGCAGTCATTGGTCAATGCAAAAGAAACAGTTTACGAGAGCCTATAGAACAAAGCAGTCCGCTAAGCGAATGAATCGAACGATCAAACATGAAGGTCAACGGGATGAAAATGACGCANTGACGCAGAACAAAACACCGATGGGGAACAAATCCCGGGTAGTTCGTGTGCAATGACGCACGAGATTGGCAGCATGGCACAGCGAGAGTTCAAGGACGATAAGGGTAGATGATGCACAAATGAATGGGACGAGGAACACTAAGAGGCGGTATGCGAACAATAACAGTAAAGTAAAAAGTATGTCATCGGACCAAATTGGGGTATGAGGATGAGTAAAGTACATTCTCAGGTCGTCTGTGTAATGGGTCACATGGGTGCACAGTTAATCGAATCGAACTGGATCAAAACCTGGGGCGTGATTAATGTTTCCAATCAACTCATACAGTACCGATGCCCGGACAAAAGATCTAGAGATGATACAAAGCGCTCAAATTCTCAGGGTCCAATAACGAAAACGAAATACTCGTTACACTACCGCAACCAAGCCTAAATCGAAAACCATGGGAAAAAGTAAAACCGAAAAAGCGAGTGATTCGAAGCCGTGCAGTGTTCCGTTGCCAGAGGAACGGCATTCTAGTACGAACGATCTGGTCCCACCTTCAATGCAAAACCAGACAAGAGGAGAGCTGATTAACACTACGAGGTGTATGTACTGCACAAAAGCACGGGCTGGCGTCTACTTGCGGAGGATGAAAGCCTCATGGTTAAAATATATATATGGGGAAGGGTTTATAAATCCGACTAGTGTCGTTCATTAAGGTGATATGAGAGTTATTCAGATAAACATTGGTGGCGTGCATTTACGAATGAATACGACTTACTGGTGGTAAGATATCGACGGTTTCCTACGGACTTGTAGGAACTATTGGAGAGATTTTGAGTTCGTGACAAGATCACGAAGCTTTTAGAAGTCGAAAAACCACAGCCCACCTGATGTGGTGGGGTCGGGCAATTGCAAAGACAATATAATGGGCCATATACGATTTTTTAACTCAGCAAAGGATCATATGCTAGGTGGTTCCACGGAGGAGATCTGGTCGAAGTGGAATGAACCATCCGGATTGTCTGAATGCACGAAGGCAAACAATTAAACCATATCATTGTCGATTGGACATTAAAGAATCGACCAATGGTTGTTCGTTGCTTGTGATATATATATATATTTATATATATTTGCAAGATTTTCTGAACGGAATTAACTGCATCCACAACTCGTCTTGGTTCTACCTGACTGCGCTATTCGGTGGTTTTTCAGTCCGATTCCAAGTTCGCGCTGTTCGATTTGGATTCCTCTTCCGAATACTACAGTATCTTGTCTGGCAGCTACTTGGAAAGGAACAGTATGCACGGCAGTGCCTAATTCGAAAACTTAACTTGTTCTATCGCCTCAGTGAACGTGTATCTTACCCATGTTCTTGTCTTCCTAGTACGATCTGATTAAAACTAGTTTGGTTAACTTNCACACTGAAGTCACGGGTTAATTCAAACAGGGATTGTGTTTTCCCCGTCTACGGTACACAGATATTCCCAGTACCGAAGTCGTGCAAAAAAGAGGTGCCTGCGTACACACGTCCGGAGATCAAATTCACGGACACCACGGTGACAAAATCGGATTTTCCGGCATACACACTCAGTCAGCTTCGGGAGGCTAATCCAAGAAAGGTGAGTATTCGGTCCCCGGCTTGTGAACATTGGAAATCCAAAACAAACGTTTGCGAAAATTGGTTATATACTTGGAAATCGTGAAGGTGAAGTTTTCCCAGGGCTTTTGGTCAGTCTAAACTATTCGTGTTCTTTACGAGCTATAGTCAGTTTTATCGTCTACTGGGGTATGAGAAAAGTAACAACTAAGCAGTTCTGCTATTCTAATTTTCCTGATTGTTTTGAGGCATTCTTTGAAATTTGATAACCTCTGTATTCCACTAACAGCTGCTCACTTTGTTCCCTGAGGGGTTCGTATTTGGGTTGTCTCGTTAACGCGGATGGAGGGAGAGATGCACAGCTGTCTGACGCGAGCGGAGTAAGTTGTTCACAAAGATTGTGGTCAGTCTCACCAACACTGCCTGCCCAGACGATCGAATAAACATAGACTGTNTTCAGATTTGCGTATAGCGATGCAAAAGCCGCAATTGTTAGGAGAGAAGTTTATTTATTGTTACCACGCTCACCTTATTCCCGAATTGTTTAAAATGATATTCATCGGCAGCGTTTCATTTCTGACCTCGGAGCCGAAATCGATAACTTTCATAGTAATTCTTCTGATGAGTACAGGTGTTGATCAAACTCGTGCAATTTCACTCCGACTTGGAAATCCAGTTCGGTTTGCAAAGTTATACTTATATATTGATGGCTATAGGCAGTGTATTTATTCCTGACTTTATCTCCCACTTCTGTGTTCTTAGTTCTTTTCTATGGCGGTTTGAATTCGCACGACCTTGAGTGTGGCGACAAAATTTGTCGTAGTTCGAAAGTTGCAGCTCAGATTTAGAAAATATTTTAACCACTTGACAATCGAGCACTTAGTCGATCAGGAAGATTGCTTTGTTTCGTCTACATCCTCAATTAGATTTACACTAGCACAGAAACCCAAAAACAGAGATGTTACAGTGCTTCCAGAATATTCGATTTACGCTTCTTTTGCCCTGCTGTATACGACGAAATTCAACGATCAAAAATTCCCGCGTTCCATCCCTACTTATCCCATGTCCTAGCTGAATGTCTACTGAATTGCGGGTTCGTGTTGTTGGGATGAATTATATCCCCCAAAAATTATAGATATGTTTTAGTTGTTATTTGGTGTTTTTTGTGTGATGGTGTGACATTTAGGGCAAAAATGAAGACAAGCTCCTAAGAGAATGAAGCAATGTGTGGCTGTAACTATAATGCCAAACCATCGGACATGTCACGGCAGCTCACTTTCCCCCCCCCCCTCTGCCCGCCCATCAGGCGACCAAGCTAGTCCCGTTCGGATTGTCACTTGACAATACAGTTCGAGTTGGGGAATACATATGATCAGGAAACGTAGACGTAGCTCAACATTGACCAGTCCAGGGGGATCGAGGTCAGGTCAACATAGATGCAATCAAAGCGAACGCATAGGCTCCATAACCCGTAGTTACTGG